ATCGACAATAGAAAAATAAGATAAAAAAGGCATGACTCATAGGTGTCTAAGTAATTAAGACATGTGTTTGGTGATGAATATAGTGACCAGAATTTAATCACATCTTTTCACAGTAACGTAAATGTGTTAGACAGATTCATAAGGAACATGTATGTAGTAATGGATGAAATATGATAATTAATTCATACTTCATATTGCCTGCCTGTCTAACTATCTGTCTGTCTGTCTGTCTATCTATCTATCTGTTTCTCTTTCTATCTATATATCTATCTATATACCTGTCTTTTCTTGTCTTTTTTAGAATAATGAGGTAGATATATAGATGAATAGACAGATAGATGGATAGATAGATAGAGAGATGAATAGATTAAAGATAATCAGAGAGAGAGAGAGAGAGAGAGAGAGAGAGAGAGAGAGAGAGAGAGAGAGAGATTGATAGATAGATAGATAGATAGATAGATAGAGAGAGAGAGAGAGAGAGAGAGAGAGAGAGAGAGAAAGAGAGAAGAAAGAGAGAGATAGAGAGAAAATAGAGAGAAAGAGAGACAGTGAGAGGCAATCTGCATCCCCGTACACCCCAGTTCTTCCCCTCTCTTCCTGTTTTTATCTTTTATCTTCCATTGGCTTCTTTCCTCTCTTTAAGATCGACTTCATTCAGTAGGATAATTACTTGTCGAGGGTAACCAGACCCTGAATGAACGAAGAGGGGAAATGAGAGGAGAGTGGAGGAAGGAGAACAATAGAGAGAGAGGGAAAAACGGAAAGGGAGGAGGAGGAGGAGGAGGATTACGAAGGAGAGGGAGTGGGACTGGTTGATAAACAAGGGAGAGAGAGGGGGAGGAGTTAGAGAGCGGAGGAAGAGAGAGAGAGAGAGATGGAGAGAGGAAAGGGAGAAAAAGAAAAAAAGAGAAAGAGAGAGAGAAAGAGAAAGAGAGAGACATAGAGAGGGAAAGAGGGAGAGAGAGAGATAGAGAGAGAAAGAGAGAGAGAGAGAGAGAGAGAGAGAGAGAGAGAGAGAGAGAGAGAGAGAGAGAGAGAGAGAGAGAGAGAGAGAGAGAGGAAGAGAGGAAGAAAGGAAGAAAGAGAAAGAAATAGACCTTAGATTTTTTCTTTATTTTCTCTCTCTCTCTCACCTCTTTCTCCCCTCTTTATTTCTTTCTTCTTTCTCTTTCATTTCCTTTTACCCCTTACGTACGGTACATTCTCACACTTTCGTTCATCCAAATAATGGCGTAGATATATAAACACCAGAAAGCAATAGATGACGAATCTAACCAAATATAGGATTTAACCCTCTTAACCTCAGCTTAACCCTTTTCCCTTTAGGATTAAAACTTTCCTTTGTCAGAATTAATTACACGGAATACAAAAGACGCTAACCTCGTCGAGAAACTTCGAGAAAAGAAAAGAAAAGGAAAGAAAAAGGCGGATAATGATAGCGGAAGAGAAGGAATGAGACATAGCTTATTAGGACGATCGTGGGTAAGAAGCTGCGTTTATTTATTTTTTTTATTTATTTATTTATTTTTTTAATTCTATTGTATAGTCAGGTGGTCCTTTTCTTCAACTGCTCAAGTAATAAGAAAAAGATTTTGCAACATTGAGAGATTTCTGTGATGAAAGCGATCAATTGCAGGTTTCCCGGATGTATGCGTGCTTTCTGGTCTAAATGCGGTGAAATATCGATGGTATTGTTTGGTTTATGTTTAATCCGTTGACGAAAACTGCAACTGGAATTTGTAATCATTCGTCTTTATGCTATTACTGTTTTTTTTATTACATTTTTTTTGTCATCATCGTTTGTGTTTTAATTACTTTCCGCCTTTCTCTTCTATTTCTACTTTCTCCTATTTCTACTTTTCCTCTTTCTTTTTCCTTTTAATTTTCTCTTCTTCTTTTCTTTTTCCTTCTGCTGCTGCTGTTTCTCCGTCTACTCCTCTTCTTCCTCTTTCTCATCCCCTATTCTTCTTTTCCTCCTTCGCTACTCCTCTCTCTTCCTCTTCCATGCTCCTTCTTCCTTCGTCTCTTCCTTCTTCTTACTCTCCCTTTTTTCTCCCTACCTTTCTTACCTATTCCTCCTCCCTCTATGTCTTTCTCCCTACCACCTAATTTTCCTCTCTCTCTCTCTCTCTCTCTCTCTCTCTCTCTCTCTCTCTCTCTCTCTCTCTCTCTCTCTCTCTCTATCTCTATCTATCTATCTATCTATCTATCTCCCCCCCCCCCCCTCTCTCTCTCTCTCTCTCTCTCTCTCTCTCTCTCTCTCTCTCTCTCTCTCTCTCTCTCTCTCTCTCTCTCTCTCTCTCTCTCTCTTATTCTCTCTCTCTATCTCTCTCTCTATCTATCTCTCTCTCTTCTCCTTTTCCATCACCTCCCACCTCCTTCATTCGCTAATTGCTTAGTCCCATAGCAGTAATTTCCTCTAATCACTGATCAAAAAAGAGTTGTTTTCATCGTCCAAGTTTCAAAATATTCCGTTCGGGCTTCATTACCCAAAGTGGCGATGACCGGACGAAGAAATGTGGTAAAGGGACGAAAATAAAGGGAAGGGAAGACGATGAGAAGGAGAGGGATTTGCATGTAGGTAAATAGAGATAGGTGGATAAAAAACACGGATAAATAGAGAGAGATGGATAAAAAACACGGATAAATAGAGATAGATGGATAAAAAACGCGGATAGATAGATAGAGATGGATAAAAAACACGGATAAATAGAGACAGATGGATAAAAGAACACGGATAAATAGAGGTAGGTTTAAATATAAATAAATAGAGAGAGAAAGAGATAACTATAAATATAGATCTATAGAGAGATGATAAATACATAAAAGAGAGAGAGAGAGAAGAAAGAAAGAGAGAGAAGAGAAAGAAAGGGGGAGAGGAATAGAAATAAATAAACCGTAAACAAGAGAGGAGGTAGGCGGAGACTAAATGATAATGAAAATAGTGATGAATAACCGATTTACAACTAATAAGCCCGTATTCCTTGAGGATATCCGAATGCATCGAAATATTCTTCAAGACGTCGCAGTAAATAGAGGCAAGAGAATCGGAGATGAGAGTCCATGTCCTATTTCCAAAGATTTTCCTTCTAGATGAGGTGAATTCGCCTTCCTTCTCTCTCTCTCTCTCTCTCTCTCTCTCTCTCTCTCTCTCTCTCTCTCTCTCTCTCTCTCTCTCTCCTCTCTCTCTCTCTCTCTCTCTTTCTCTCTCTCTCTCTCTAGCTCTCTCTCTCACTTCCTCCCCCACCCCTCTCTCTCTCTATCTATCGCTATATATTTATCTATTTATCTCTCTGTCTCTCTGCCTATTTATCTATATATCTATCTGTCTGTCTATCTGTCTGTCAGACTCTCTCTCTCATTCTCTCTCTCTATCTCTCTCACACACACACACACACACACACACACACACACACACACACACACACACACACATACACACACGCACCTACACACACACACACTCACTCGCTCGCTCTTAGTGCTAACCATTACGTAATTCAACATCTATAGCTCCTTTTATCTCTTCAAACACCCCCCCCTCCGAAAAAAAATCCTATTTCCATTTTTTCTCGAAATCTCCTCATAGTTCACGCTCTGATCCTGTCTCTCCTGTTACCCCCCCCCCCCTTTCCCTTCATTCCTCCCTTCCTGCCCCCCCCCTCTTCCCTTCATTCCTCCCTTCCTGCCCCCCCCCCCTTCCTTACCTCAGCACCTCCCGTTCACCCTCATCTCCCAACTGATCTTTCCAGACTTCAGCATCCACACTCCCCCCCCTCTCATCTCCCCGTCCTCAGCATACCTCTCCCTCCCTCCCTCCCTCCCCATTTCATCTCCCCTACTCAGCATCCCCCCTCCGCCTCCCCTCTCCTCTCCCTGATCCCCCTCCCTCCATCCCTCTCTCTAATTCCCCCCTCCTCAGCATCCCCCCCCCGTCCCCCTCTCCTCTCCCAGCTGATCTCCTCGGCCTCAGCATCCCTCTCCCTCCCTCCCTCCCCCTCCATCCCCATTTCATCTCCCCCTCCTCAGCATACCCCCTCTCCCTCCCTCCTCCCCCTCTCCCTCCCCCTCTCCTCGGCCTCAGCATCCCCCCTAAACGCCTCCCTGATCCCCCTCCCTCCCCCCCCTCTCTCTTCCCCCCCTCCTCAGCATCCCCCCTCTCCTCTCCAAGCTGATCTCCTCGGCCTCTAAACGCCTCCCTCCCTCCCCCTCTATTCTCCCCCTCCTCGGCATCCCCGCTCTCCCTCCCTCCCCCCTCTCCTGAGCACCCCCCCTCCCCCTCCCCCCTCCTCTCCCAGCTGATCTCCCCGGCCTCAGCATCCCCCTAAACGCCTCCCTCCCTCCCCCCTTTAATCTCCCCCTCCTCAGCATCCCCCCCTCCCCCTCCCCCTCTCCTCCCCCAGCTGATCTCCTCAGCCTCAGCACCCCCCCCCTTAAACGCCTCCCTGATCCCCCTCCCTCCCTCCCCCCCCTCCTCAGCATCCCCCCTCTCCCTCCCTCCTCCTCAACACCCCCCCTCTCTCATCCCCCCCACCTCAACACCCTTCCTCCCTCTCCCCCTCTCATCTCCCAGCTGATCTCCCCGGCCTCAGCATCCCCCCCCCCCTTAAACGCCTCCCTGATCCCCCTCCCTCCTTCCCCCTCTCTCACCCCCACCTCAGCATCCCCCCTCTCCCTCCCTCCTCCTCAACACCCCCCCTCTCTCATCCCCCCACCTCAACACCCTTCCTCCCTCTCCCCCTCTCATCTCCCAGCTGATCTCCCCGGCCTCAGCATCCCCCCCCCCCTTAAACGCCTCCCGGATCCCCCTCCCCCTCTCTCACCCCCCCTCCTCAGCATCCCCCCTCCCCCCTCCCCCTCCCCCTCTCCTCTCCCAGCTGATCTCCCCGGCCTCAGCATCCCCCCCCCCCCCTTAAACGCCTCCCTGATCCGATCCGCCGAGCGCATTGCCGTACACACCCACCGCGAGATCAAAGCGTTAAGAGTGGATGGAGGAAGCG